AGACTCAAGTACAGAACACTTCGCAGGCAAGTGTTTCAGATGGTTCTGAAGAAGGAATGGAATGGACGGCTGCAGCTGTGAGTATAACCATGGTGGCAGATGGTGGGAGACCAATAACTGCATTTGAAACAATTTCGCAATCACTTATTACAATCATTACTCTTCCAGGCAATAGCTTAACCGTTGAACTGGACGCCAGTGTCAACCATCAAAGAGGGGCTATGGAGTTGGTCACTTGGAACTCTGAGGAGATGGACCATGTAGATGTAAACCAAGAGGAGGATTATATCTACAGAGGAGTTGGTGAGGTATGTTTCCTAAGCGATGCACCAACCTCCATTCCCCGTGGCGGCACATGGATAGCACGCCGTTGTTATGCAACATTCCATATATTCTGCGCATGGAATCCACACCCAAGTAGCTTTTGTTTAGAATGCCCTGAATGTGGAGGTAATCCCTGGCAGGAAGGTACTATCGATGATAATTAGAGGGATTTTCGTAAAAAAGGTAATTTGCATCGCTGACTCCCACAGTTGTACCCACTTTACTTTTATATTTCAGGTGAAGACAAACTGCACCAGAAGTGAATTTTTACTTCATGATGGAAAGTGAACGAACGAAGGCCCTTCTCAGGGCCATTCAAATGTGATTTCAATGACTCCTTTCTTTCAAATAAATAAGAAGTGATTATTCACACTTAAATGCTTGACTTATCGATCGAATGAATGCGTTACAGAATATCAGATAATTAAAAAGTGCAGAAGGGAGAATGATAATACCACGAAATGTTTATTTCCACTCATTTCTGAAATATTATCAACTACGACTAATACGCACTTTGATTACAACTCACTCATCAATATTTCATGAGGTTACTCAACTTAGTCGAAATTAATCTAGGGAAGAAAATTATTTCAAATAGATCACATTCATTTAGTTTCTATTCTATGTTGAGCGATGCTCGCAAATCTTAGCAACTAGGTTAAAGCATTGTTTCGTTGCATATACGCCACGGTGATTAAATGAGTAATCAAATGAGACTTGGTCTATTTCAATGTTGACCCCAAGTTAACATCAACATCACTGTAAAACGTAAACATTTTGGTTACTAAGATGCTTCAATTATTTGCAATATCCTCATGAGTAGCCTTAAATCTTGATGCATGTCAGTTAAAAGTACTCATCCCAATATTGAAATATGTAGAGAAATGTTGTTGAAAAAATGTGGCTTTAAATGACCTCAGTGAAAATCATCTTAAGCCATAAAAAATTTCAGGTAACATTATTTATGCTAGTCTTAGGAACTCAACATATACGTTGAAAGTAAAATGTTACCAGAGGCAGACTATTCTAACCTCAAGTAAAATCCTTGTTTCTTCAATCCTGAACAAAATATTAAATGCTCACATAGTATTTATAAGCCAATTTATTGCAGTTATTCGATTATAACAAGAATTCCGATTCAGTACCACTATTAAGAAGCATAGGAAATCAAAGAAATGCTGTCTCTTAATCACAACTGAAATGAAATAGTTTCCCCTCTGTCATGCTTCAACTTGAACAGCAAATAGACTCTCAATAAAAAGTTCGTAGTGAAGAGTACATGGTAGCAATTTCTAGTCAACATAAAGTTTGCCTATATGAACGTGATTACTTAGTACTTGTTTTCGAAGACCACCTCAGTGTTGGTCAGAACTACCAAGGCAGAGTAATCAGTTTCTCACCAAGATTATCCTCAAAATTACAGCTAGCAGTGTATTGAAGGTATCCTGACCAACAGTGGACAGGATGGTTTGAAAAAACTTGGGCACCAAGTTAGTATGATTCATTGTACAAGGTGTATTTTTACTTGTATAGTCCCTGCCAATGTCAGATTCACACTCTTGAAGAGGATCTTCCTAGCAAGATCGAAACGTTGAGGATTTATACAAAATATTTGTTTATTTTGTGATTTGTTCTAATATATTACGCCCGGATTATACACGTAAAAATGCACCTTATGCAATGTAGCAGCGTATTCCTACAAGGATTTAAATATATCGATGAAAAGATTGTATATTGCCGAATGGGATAATATATAATAAGTACATTTCAAATGAAAAGTTTAAAAACAATGGTAAATTGTTAAGAAAATATTCCGACTGTTGGTGTGATCATGGGCAGCAATTTTGTTCGAATTACTACCAAAATAAGAACTTATTATTATGTGCAAACTTTCAATTAATAAATTTAAGATTTAGATTTTTCTGCAAACCTCATTTACAGTATTAAATTACACCCAATACAAATTGATCTCGGCGACTACCAGGACGCGCTCTTCGTTCTACTTGGGACTCGTCAGCTGGATGTAGCAGGACCCCAGTCAGTGATGTGTTTCCCACTGTGGATCGAACACAGTACCCATGGCTTAAGCAGGCAGAGCCTTATTCACTAAGCCGAGTACCAATTAGAACAAAACACCAGTCCTGGAGTCTTCTGTTAGTCACCGAGATCAACGTTACATCATGAATCAACAATAGTATCAAGGTATCCGCATAGGAGCCCATATACCAACAGAGGTCGAGCAATTCAGCCCTGTATAACAACAGGAAATTACAATTATCACAACAACAATTACACTAAATTCATTTTGAAACAGGCTCCCTGAAACACAACATTGTCATTACAGAATTAAATTCTCCATAAATTTTAAATTCATTTTGGATTTAATCGTTGCTTAAGTTGCTTAATCTATGGCCTCACCTACAAAAGCTCAGAGGAAAAGACTGCCATATTATATTTTGAAAATTGTTCTACAGTTTATTCTCTCTAATAACACCGAATACGTCACAATTTTAAAGTGAAAGGTAGCTGTGTCAGAGAAATAGTCGTTCACTATACTACCATCCTGACTGTGTGTAGTATTTTTTCTACCTTCTACAACCAAACGAGGCAATACTGGTTAGCACACTGCAACAGACACCTTATGGAACATCCTGCATAACTCGCTCTATAGGATCAGTTACATTTAAAAGTACTGACTGGTATGGACTTAAGAGGAATCCTGTCCCTCAACCATATTATTAAGATACACCTAGTTGTAAAGCATAGAATGACTGTCAGGAACGTCTCTCTCAGGGATCTTTGTCGCATGTTAGTGATCCTGGCAGTGAGATCATATCCCTTAAACTGTATGACGTGAAAATGTTTTCTCTTCATGCAAGTGAAATTAGTAGATCTCTCAACTTTTCTTCCTATATTATTCGAAATAAAATTCTCTGGGTATTCAATTTCCTAAAAAACGTTTCCCAGTTTATGTAGCTGTTATTAGATTTTTATGTCTCATCGTATCATCCTTGTTTTGTCTGTCAAACACCAAATCAAGTTTTTCTGCAGCAGAGAGATGAAATGTAGAGGTGTGCTTATTTTCCCTTGCCTAATGAAGCTCAAAGGAAACTAATTGTTGGTGTTAAATATTGGTAGTAAATCGGCAGGAAGTCCAACTTGACCTAAGTTTCGTGTTTGTTGACACTCTGAAAGCCACTTACGCACCCTCAAGACAACTTAAGTTACTGATGGCACTGAAGACTAGATAATATGAGATTGATAACTGTGGGGTCACCAATCAATGTTTATCATTAACTGTTACAGCACTGAAGTCAGCAGTCACTTCTGTGACTGCAGTAATAAGTAACTTGGGATGGGATCAATTAGGGGAACATTACTTCCGTCTAGGTTTCAGATTAGCCTTACTGAGGATCTCCAACGCCTGTGAAACCTAGGTCAAGCATAGTTTCTTGTTAATTGACTTCTAACATCTAATACCAAATGCAGTGTTCCGTAGTATTGTGTCAATTAGCTTGGTGGTCATGTTGCAAACTTGGTCGATATGTGTTGTTTAACACAGCTCTAAGAACAAGATAGCTACATCGGTTATCCATTAATGCTCAATTTTTGTAGAATTGTTCTGCTCAAATAATGGTAAAAATTATTCAATCTTTCATACAGGCCAGGTTGATTGTGTCAGAAAGCTTCCAAATGAGTGGCAAACTATGTTTTGGGAAACGTTTATGATACATATATTTTTTAAACAGCGGCGATTTTTTTTCTCATCAGTGATATTAACACTTCATCCTGTCCTGCTGGTTTGTAAACACCTTCCTCAAGTCAATAACCAAGAGGTGAACATTTTGTTCAAAACTAACAACTACACTCTTTGTCGTTTCGGTGTGAGTTTCTGCCTCATAAATGGCTTTTACTATTAGACTGTCCGACTGCCGTGCACAACTCTCTAACTTAAAAGTATTTTATTCAGTAGCGTTTTTACAATCACCTTGAAATTTGTCAGTTTAGTCTCACTGTCGTTCAGGTTGATAGATGTGAACTCCAAAACCGGAGGGCTTATAAGCTTGTTAACCGGATGAGTAGGATTTTGTTTCGTCTGTTAATTTTCACTGTACATAGAATATCTACATACCTGCTGACACACAGCACAAAGAATGTGTTTATCACTTAAGTAAACAAACCTATCGGTATTTCGCCTGCATACGGCTCGTTGTAGTATTGTTTCACCATAATATCCAATGTGTATGAATTGTTTGACGCATGTTTTTACCAAAGTTTATTTTGGAGACTATTTTAAAAGTTGTATTGTACAAACACAGTTATCACCAATATGGAGTGCTTAAATCCTATGGTATGCAAATGTTATTTGATTCCTGGTGGCAGTTCGTGTAATCTGAACGACCACTGGATGCATGTGTTAACTGATTTTCTGCTCCATTCAGCTTAGAAACCTATTAGCGGTATTTTGACGGAGAACTTCAAGTTTTCTCTTTCGAAATCATTAATCTGAAAAGCGGCATTTTATATTACTGCATTTATCAATGGGTGTTCACTCGTTTTTAAGTAAAAAATAGTGGTTGACAATCTTTTTACGCTTGATCATATAACTCTTGAAACAAAATCATTATGTTTTATATTCAGCTTGATTTCATGTAAACATTCCTGTCTTTTTGTAGGGGTCAGAGAGCAGTGGATTATATTCCAATCAAAACTTAGGTTGCTATGCTGCTAATTCTACCCAGCAAACCTTGACTCTACAACCTCCCAAAGCCACACCAGAGTGCATGGATGACGAGGAAGAAGTTAGTGAAAAGTCAGCTTCAGAAAACACAAGAACTGCACCAACGACAAATACGACGAAAACAACGTCACCCAGTGCGGATGCACAGAAGCCAGTAAGTTAACAGACAATAAAAAGATGAGGGGGATGACAAACAAATAATATGTTTTTCATCTATCATTTGACTTGAAAAATGAATTGTTAGGGCTACAATTTTGAAGAAAACCGAGCATCATCTTGAAACTTGATGTCTATCATCACTAAACTGATGGTGGATAGAAATGCAATTGGTTTTTGGCTGGAGAAAGTGCATCAAACATTTTCAAAATTTTAACAATTTAATTACAACTTCATTTAGAACGTGATTTACGATCGAATTTCATGTTGAAAAGTTTGGTTACATTTAATTACGGCGAAGATTGAGAGGTTTTAGTCAAGACAGTCAATAGAACGCTGTGGTTCTACGCTTGCTACCGCGTGTCAATACTCTAATAATTTTTTTGAAGTAAGGTACAGAGCACCACAAGTCAGCACTAATGACTAAACAATGTAATAATTTTCACCATTCCTCAACTGATTATTGTGCATTTTACGTGTAAGCCAATTCAAAATAAATATCTAGAATCATAGCCAAAGGTAGGCCAGACGTGACTAAGAAGCATGTACTTCAAAGTTAACTTCAAAACGCTCAAAAGACATATCCGGCAGATACGTTAACTTTCATTATTTAACCATTTGGAGTCTCTGTATGGAAATTATCAGTTAGGCTAGGCAGTTAAGGATAAATAAACATGGTTCTCCTGAGTTATCTCGGAAACAACTGACTTCTAGTTAAGATCAGAATTTTTATATTCAGTTTCTGCAGTATAACAAATCTCTAGCTCTACTCTAATGATGTCTGTATTGTAGGATTGCGCACTAGTTTTCCCATGTGGAAATGATGAGAAATTGTACTGTCAAACCCACTTCCAACAAAAATAGATTGTAATCTTTTATACAACAAGCATTCAAGAAACTCATATAGTTCATACAACTCAGGCAGTTAAAACATTTAAATTACAAAGTAGATGGACCTATTTTAAAAGAACACGAAGTCAGCCATAATAGCCCATGTGGAAATAACCAGTCAGATTGTAATTACGCATACAACTGTTGTTTCATATGCTGAACAGCTAGTAAGAATCTAAATACAGGACTTTCTGTTTTATACGTTGTAAACGGAAGGTGGTAACTCTAATAGCTAAACTGGGGTGGAATAGCACTATCCATCATTTTTTGCTTTTCATTCATCTATTAAAGGTTATTACATTTTCACTGTCATAAGATGCTTTGACAGATGGGTATTCCAGGTATTTCCTAGATATCCATGATAAAACACGTCTTTCCGCTATATATGTGAAAAATATACTGATAAAGCTACTGGTTTAATGATTGACACATAATGATTCACTGTATGCAACCTCTGTATTTCGTTAGATAAATAATTTTGTTGGATGTGAACCAAACTTTGGTTGTACATCTTTAATAATTGCGGACTTCGGGAGCATTAATTTAAGTTTTTAATGCGTTGAAAGTGGCCTAGTGGATAACGCCACGGCGTTTGAGGAGATAGGTCCCGGGTTTAAGTCCTAGTGAGAACAACACGACTCACTGTGAGGCAGGTACATTCATCTGACGAGTCCCAAATAGGACGAAAAGCGCATCCTAGGTTCCACTGCTAGCCCCTATCCATTATTAAAATCATAACATCGGATTTTTCTTTTTGTATAGTTCTGGGGAAGTATATCGCATTCTCATTCTCCCTTTCTCTTTTTGAGTACTTTATATCTCTTTGACTGGATTTTATTTTCTTCATCTTCCACTTCACTGCCTTTTTACTGAATGTACTGATATGAGGTGTTGCAACTTGAACCGTTACGCAGTAATGCCTGGTCTTATGTTGATTTGGATATCGCAATAACAAAGATTATTAAATCTTGCACATCATTCCTTAGCATTTGATTTTAACGGGAAAATAACTTTTTTAGTGGACAAATTGAATATTCGGTCTCCAGGCTAGTGTATTCATGTTTGAGCAATACTAGGAAATTCCCATTGGTTCCGTTCGATTGTTTATTTGTTCTGATAAACTTCGATAAGATCATATAAAAATAAACTCTAATACACAGTGTTAGGAAAGTCCATTTGTGACTCAAAATAGTTGTTGATTGGTGAATTTTTCATGAAATTCAGAGAAATACCGAAAAACGAACAGTGTTAATTCTCTACTCTGGCTCTTACAAAGCAATTTACTTTTCTTTTGGTTTGGATAGCTTTACTTACAATCACTTCTTATTCGTGGTTTTCTTTAAAGATCCTATATCTTGGCCATACGTTCCATTCAACGTTACTAGTTGTTTCTTAATAAACAAGTCATTAGATAAAAAGAAAACCAATAGTATCTATTTGTGTGCATGTTTAACACAATTGTGTTCAAGACTTAAGCGTTGACTAACATCGAAACCAGTTTTCGCATCATCACTGCTAATCTGCCAGTAATATTCTTTTGTTGAAGAATCAAAACGTAAGATATGAGGAGAAAGACGGTGACTCACTGTTTTGCGAAAGCTTCAGGCAACTATCTGTTCATGTCATCAGCAACAGTCTGTAACTAGTAGACTCATGAAAGGCCTCTCGAATTTTAAGTGACTCATCTACTACGACTGTGGGTACTTTTCCTTTAGTTTTTTCTTCAATAATTTGACTGACTTCCTTCATTTTTCTGGTTTATTTGACATAAAAGTTCTCTTGTCTAATTTGCATCAAAATGTCATCTTATCATTTAGAAAAACCAATGAACAATTATTAGCTGTCTGTGAAAGATAGTCTACTAAACCAAGAGGCTTGAAATATGATTCCTTTATTTGTTTGACAGGAACAAGTACATGTAGCTCCGGGCTACGAAAGCATTCAGAAATTTTTAAACTCACTTACTGATCCATATAAGCAGTTATCCGAAAGGCTGAAGTATTCAACAATTGATAATGAATATATTCAACCGGCATTTGGCTCCAACTGTATGCTGGCTACACATTGTGATCTAGCTGTCATACGGTGCTTATTCTGCCCTGAATGGTGTGAATCTGGTATCTATTGGTCACTATGCTATTTATTCAATCGTCTATTACAAATACGCTCAGAATGGTTAAAAACTAAACTGAATAGTCGTAATCTATTCAAGTTACACAGAAGCAATCTACCTTCTGGTCGTTTATTTAAATGGGCACCAGGGTTATGGCCACCAGTGTCATCAAATCAAGCACGAATTAGTCAAATCACTGGGACATGGTGAGAGAAATTCGGAGTTTTTCATTGCCAAACATATCATCAAGGCATGTTTTGAATCCCTTTCATTGTAATTCTTCTGAACAGTCAAGTCAAGAATGTAGAGAAGATAAGAGAACCGGTGAGTTTCATGTTTTACTTCTTTTTAGTTTTCAGTACTTATTTTTGAAATAGATGATTTTATATGTTGTACTGTTTCTGCCAAAACAGGTCAGGTGCTGCCTATGACACCTCTAAATGCTCGTTTCAGCTTTTTGCAGTTTCTTCAGTTATGTACAGCTGGGTAATCCATAATAGGTGGATAGTGTTTATCTTGCTAGAAGGATTTTAGGGTGTAATCAACCCTAAAATTTACTGGATTTCTCATATCTCCACCAAACGATCAAGAGTGTACGGCTCATATCACTGAAAATCCACTCACTAAAAGATCCAGCATCTCAATAGGAGTAACTATGAATATTTATTTCGCAGGAAAACAAGGATTATTGACGACGAAGAAAACCACTTCGCTTCTCTTTGGAGTTTGTTTTTCAAGATTCTATTTTACTACATATTATAGTTTGTTAATGTATTTTAGTATTCTGGTAGGATAAGAAACTATCAATAACAACCGTGTTGAGGAAGTTACATCCAGAAAGTATAACCTTTGTCAGGAATGATGTTCAGTAACAAAAACTCAGGTGTTCAGGAAGCTCGTTTAGAATGGCCATAAGGTGGGAAATCATTGGTCACTTTATTAATAGCAGCTGTAACCATTATGAATTATTGAATGCCCACTGAGCTTTGTTGTTAAAATTGATAAGTTTGCAGTGTGCTGCTTAAAAGATTATAAATTAAAAAAGTTTCTGTTTAAGAAATACTCGAGGGAAGTTTACTTGTTCGATTGGTATCAGTTATCGTCTTATGTGCAGGCTAAAATTCATTTCTGATCAACACTGGTACGAACTTTCAAAAAATCACTCCGAAATTCCAAAATTACTTGGTTGGATAATTTTCATCATGGACTGGTATCAGTTGGGGAACCGTTGAAAATCTGGGAGCACTGGACAGCTGTTTCGTCCTAGTATGGGACTTCTCAGCTGTACGCACCCACAACCCGGCTAGAGATCGAACTCAAGACCTTCAGGCTTCACGGCGGACGCGTTAACTATTCAGCATATTGCTGAGGAGTCCCATACTAGGACAAAACAGATGTCCAGTGCTCCCAGGTTTTCAATGGTTCCCCAACTGATGTCAGTCCATGATGAATACTACTAAATTAAAAATCCGCATTCCTCTCAAAAATGAATAATTTTCACCGTTTATCTATGATATAATACGTACAATGATGAGTGTATACAAGTTATAAACCTTAGTGTCTATCCTACTCACTTGGTTAGATTGTTATAGTCTGCTGTTTGTGTACCCATTTTCTTATTTAACACACATATGGGGGAATTTAAAGGCCACGCTAGCAACTGCTGAAATAACTAACCCATAAGGTTTCAGTATTTCGGCTAGAAAAATACAGAAGCCTAATTGGTTTTCTCAGCAGTTGCTACGGTCGCCTTTAAAGTAATTTTACTTCTTAAATAGAGTAATAAGTTAAAACCTCTTTTCGTGCGGGTACTGATATGAATGAAAAATAATACTACCCATTCGTCTCAATTATTCAGTAGCGATCTGAACTTCTATAGAATAAGCAGAAGCAATAAATTATCGTATTTAAATCATCAACACATTGGAATAGAATTATATTTTGAGGAAAATGACAAACATCATGACTGACACCAGAAATTTATATAAAAGAACATTATAGTAGAATAGCTCTCATCATCAGCTCAAAATCACAGACGTATTTTTTCTGTTTAAATATCCTAGTTTTATTAACCTGCATCGTTTTCTTATGATCATTATTTATCCTTGGGTTCCTAGTGGAACATAGGGCAGGGCTTCAGTAGCACGTCCCCATTGCACTCTGTTCCCTGCAGTCTTTTGAACCTCCCTCCACGACTGCCCACAAGCTTTCATTTCTTCCTTACATGATCTCCTCCATGTCACCCTCACCTCGGACGCCCAACTCGTCGTTTCCCATTTGGATTCCACTCGAGGGCCTGGCCTGGCCTGGCGCGTGATATCCCCAGTCGGCCTTCTCAGTGTATGCTCAATCCAACTCATCTCCACTTTCTTCTGCATATTTGTTGGGTGATAGGTTCTTGGTTGGTTCGTTGGCAGGCCAGAGTGAGTTCCTTGTTGCTTATTCTTTCAGGCCATCTGATCTTCAGTGTAAGTATCGAGTGAGCGTAGGCGACAGTTGTTGATGAATGTCTTTAGTTTGTTGGAAATGCTTTTTGTGACGCGCCAAGTTTCTGAACCATAAAGCGGCACTGACTTGACATTGGTGTTGAAAATCCGGATCTTGTTCTTTGTGGTGGGTGCAGTAGATCTCCACACTGATTTCAGATCAATGAAAGCCTGTCTTGCTGTCTTTCCGATCCTGGTTTTGACATCCTCGTCTGTGCCGCCTGTAGTTGAAACGGTCTTGCCTAGGTAGGTGAAAAAGACTACTTACGTTAGGCTTCTCCCGTTGACGGTGATTGGAGCTTGTTGTTGCTTTTGTTGGTGTTGGTTAGGTATCTTCATTACCTCTGTCTTCTCTACGTTCACTTGAAGTCCTGTATTCGCTCCCTCTTCTGTCAACTTGTTAGTTTTCGCCTGTAGATCTTTGAGTTTGTGTGACAAGACATTAGACATAAATCATCATCGTTGGCGAAATCCAAATCTTCGTCTGGGGTCTTTTCACCGGTCCAGCCAGCGTATGTCCTTCTTCTCGCTCCTCACTGTTTGTTGCATGATCCAGTCCAGTCGAGCACAATCAGGAAGATCATTGGTGATAGTAGGCGGCAGCCTTGTCTTACTCCTGTCTTCACTTCAAAGGCGTCACTCAGCTTTCCGTTGTCGATCACTTGGCATGTGGCGTCTTCATATAGTTGTTGTTGAATGAGGTTGATAAAGGTTTGTGGTATTCCATAGTGTTGTCGCAACTGCCAAATTACTTCTCGGTCAACGTTGTCGAAGGCCTTTTCAAAGTCGATAAAGTTGAAGTGAAGGTCCAGTTGACTGCCATTCTTTACTTTGTTCTATGGTGATGCGTAGCGTAGCGTTGCAATTCGATCCGCACATGATTTGTTCTTCCTGAAGCCAGCCAGCCAGCCTGTTCCGGTCGTAGTTTTGAATCCAGCGCATTCTTAGGTCTCTCCAGAATGATGCGGCTTAATATTTTGCTTGCTGTGGGTGGACAGCAGCATGATTCCACGCCAGTTCTTGCAAAGACTTGGGTCTCCCTTCTTTGGGAGTTTGACGAAGTAGCCCTTTTTCCAACCAGCCGGCAGGTACCTTTCCTTCCTTCCTTGCAAACCTTCTGCGGTAGTGGTGTGAGCATGTCCACCGTTGTCCCTGCGTCTGCTCTCAGTGCTTTTGGCGGGATTCCATCTGGTCCTGCTGCTTTCCGCACTTCAGTAGCCTTATGGCGTTCAGGACTTCGACTTTCGTCGGAGGGCCTGTGTTCACTTGTAGTTCTGTGGTTGCAGGTGGTATTTCTGGACGAGTTACAGGTGATGGTGGTGGTCGATTCAAGAGCTTTTTGAAGTGGTCAGCCCATTGTTTCCTTTGTTTCTCTTTTCTTTGGTAATTATGTTTCCTTCACTATCTTTTATTGGTTTCGTCTGCGCTGATCTCTTCCCTACCAGATAGTAACCTGGTTATTTGATATAGTGTTGTCAGGTCTCTGTCCCTCCTACCTGCAGCCTGTTCTGCTTTACTTGCCAGTGTGTCGTGGAAGTGTATTTTGTCTTTCCGTGCACTCTTCTTCACTTCTTTGTCTAATGTAGTGTTTTATCGATTGTATTCAGTTTCCCTTTTCGTTGTGCATCCTTGCACTGGTTTATCTTCTGCTTCACCATCCTCCTCTCCCTGCTCTATCGGCTTCCATGTATCCATCGAGATCCATTCCTTATCTTCTTTCCGTTTCATTTCTAACACGGTTATGCAGAGTGTTCTTCCACACCCAATCCTTCAGGGATGTTGCTCAATGTCTCGCATTTTGTTCTGATGGCTGCCGTGAAGATTTCTTTTGTAGTTTCGTCCTTCAGCTAGTTTCTGTTCCGGGTGTTGAACTTGAACTGTAGTCTATCACCATCTTCTCTGAAGGCTTCCAACTAGATTCGGAAGGTTCCTTGCACTCGATAGTGAGTGGTGTGGAGCTACATCTGCTCGTCTTCGTTATCTTGTGTCCAGTAGACTGAGTCTCCACTTTCTTGAGATTGGTGCTTGTCAGGAGAAGGTGTTTGCAACCTCGATGAAACTGATGTCCTGCCTGAAGTTCCAAGCCATGTTTTCCAGTATTGCAGTCAGAGATTTTACCACTAAGCTATTCTGGCTGCAGTTGAACTACTGTGGGATTAGATTAGGTGCACTGATTGGTCGGTGCGGGTTACCAACTTAGTGTCATCTAGTCCTATAAGGTAAGCGAAATTAACTAGACTACTACTGAATACCATCATGGAAAAAAGCAGCTACCCTATCCGGATGCGAAAGTTATTACCACTGTTCTACTTTAACATTTTGACTTTTAATCTGTTATCTTTGAGTTTCACAATTAGTAGGTTGACTTGTGGGTTATAATATCGAATAATAAATTGGCTATGTATCGAATCTTTTCAGTAGTAAGTTACAACACATCAGTTAACGGTAAACATACTTATTATATTAGTTAAATGTTCAAACTTCCATACTCCAAGGGTTTAGTTGTTAGCGCTTACAAATGAAGCTTTAGCCTCTACTTATACTCCAAACCAGTTAGTTAAGAGTGAGGATTCTGATTTCATCATTCTTCATAACTTCAAAGGTTAATAATATTTGAACAGTTAGCTGCTAAATTTCGGTCATTTTTCAGAAATTCAGTCAGAAAATTTATGTTTTTATTCTACAGTTTTAATAGTGACCCTTTTTCAAGCATATACTTGTGTATGATATATTAGGATGTTTTAAAATTTATGCGAGACTTGGTGCGTGGCATTCATTTTTTACGCGAGATATTATCTGACCTAGACTATCAAAATGTGATAGCTGTTTTTTTGTAGTCCTGTTACCACTCCTAAGGAAATTTGGGTTTCAATAATAGTTGAATAAGCCATTCCTCTTTAAACTTCTTCATCTCTTGATACTTAAAAGTTTAGCTGAATGAAATTTTCACGCTTATCTATCATAGCAAATAGGAAGAAACCACATAGTCCATTGCTGACATTACTAAGCGAATCATATGAATAGGAACATCTGACTCTCTTCAACATAAGGTTTTTTATATCTAAGCAGAACTGCACCCATTTGAATGGTTTTAGGTGTTAGGTATCTACACCTTATATCAATATGATTTCTTAAAGAAGGAATTTCACAAGCTTCGATATTGGATCGTCTGTCGGCCTGTCTAAGTTGAAGTAGAGGAAACTATCGTAAAACTAGTTACCATTCATTCTTAATATTTTATAGAAATAGATAGTTGTGCCATGTCTTCATATCTTTCAGTGCTTAAAGGATATAGGTTTCTCAAAAGTACTTTTCAAAAAGTCTGTCTCATAACAGTTTTTTTCTTTCCAGATGACTTATTTAAAATCCGTTTGTGCTCATCTTGATCCATAACTACTATCATCAAAATCTCTGTATACTGTTCAGCTAGTTCCAGTTTTAAAAGTTATTGGATTCTTACACATCGTTTTATTTCTAGGTGATTTCAATCAACAAAAATATGCAACACATCATGAACAGACATGTGAACCTCAGATGTATAGTACTAGTGGCAACTTCCAGCCATCAGCTGGAAGCGCCGGTACTCATCCTTTCCCCAAATATTCTTCGAAACCAAGTCATTTTGATGAATCATTCAGCCTAAAAGGTATATCGAGTATGGTAGGATCGTCGGCATCTTTATTAAATGTAGACAAATCTGAGAACAACATGATGATATCGGATTGTTCAAGAGAAAAAAATCCCAAAGATGAACAACAGCAACAACACTTCAGTACAAGTCTGATGCAAGCGGAAATTAGTCTTGGTGATCCAACGTTTACACTTGCCTTGCCGATTGCTAGTTTTGGAGGTCAGCAACACCAACAGAACCAACAGCGCCAGCAGCCTACCTGGAGAGGTTCTAAACGTTCAAGAATTGCTGATATTAAAGTAACTTGATGACTAGCAAACATACTTTTCAGCGCAGTATTGACCTTTCTTAATGTTTTACGCTTATTGTGTTGTTATTTTGATAAGATTTTAATGACTTCCGAGTCCTTTGGTAAAGATAACGGTAATTAGTCTGTGTAAGTCATTTTGCTAGGTTTAATTGCAAATGGTGGCCTTTGGATAGAACAAAATAATTTTTGACTGTCTGTAAGTAGGATCAGGATACAATGAATTATCAGTTTTCGTTATACCTACAAACAGAATCACCAAATGCAACTGAAAAAGGTAACAAAAAGCAACTTTCAAATTGGAATGCGAAGATGAAGGCCTGCTAAGCTAGAATATTTTCCATGCCATATTACCTAGGGCCACCAAGCACTGACTTCAATTTAGGAACAACAAGTAATCTCATGCCTCAGTGTAACTTTATGGCTAACATTGTTGATTAGATGTTAAGCTTTGATACGTTTTTGATTACCATTGGATTTTCAACATCCTACGTCTACACTAAGACCTTATTACTGGCCGTGTTAAGGATTTGCAATACATTCCTAAATGTTAGTCACTGCCTAACAGTTAATCTACAGAAATAGAACTAACTACGTGACATTAAATTTATCTGTAAGCGTTAGAAACTATGAGAGTTTGAAAGGGAAAATGCGACTATTCAGTGGAACTTTATAAGTTCTGTCTCGTAGTAATGGGTTGTCGTAGAATTCCTGATGTTTCAGGGTCACACGTGGTTATATTGTAAAACTGTTATGTTCAGGACGTACAGTTGCTATGGCTTTTATTTTTTTGCATAAAACGAATGGCATTACACACTATTTGAATTCTTATGCAAGAAAGCATATACTTCATAGCAGTCTCTTACGCTGCCTGTAAATGTTGGTTCAGAACGATACACAAGAACTCCAAATTCTATGAATCCTAAAATACAGACATTTGATGTGTTCAGGTCAGTAGATAAATATGAAACCAATTTTCATCAGAACCATTGTCAGTGAAACAGTTATTGAAATTCATGAACTGCCACTGACAATTCTTTCAAACTGTTGGGTTCCATTATAATAATAATCCTTTCCCTGAGTTCCTAGTGGAACATAGGGCAGGGCTTCAGTAGCACGTCCCCATTGCACTCTGTTCCCTGCAGTCTTTTGAACCTCCCTCCACGACTGCCCACAAGCTTTCATTTCTTCCTTACATGATCTCCTCCATGTCACCCTCACCTCGGACGCCCAACTCGTCGTTTCCCATTTGGATTCCACTCGAGGGCCTGGCCTGGCCTGGCGCGTGATATCCCCAGTCGGCCTTCTCAGTGTATGCTCAATCCAACTCATCTCCACTTTCTTCTGCATATTTGTTGGGTGATAGGTTCTTGGTTGGTTCGTTGGCAGGCCAGAGTGAGTTCCTTGTTGCTTATTCTTTCAGGCCATCTGATCTTCAGTGTAAGTATCGAGTGAGCGTAGGCGACAGTTGTTGATGAATGTCTTTAGTTTGTTGGAAATGCTTTTTGTGACGCGCCAAGTTTCTGAACCATAAAGCGGCACTGACTTGACATTGGTGTTGAAAATCCGGATCTTGTTCTTTGTGGTGGGTGCAGTAGATCTCCACACTGATTTCAGATCAATGAAAGCCTGTCTTGCTGTCTTTCCGATCCTGGTTTTGACATCCTCGTCTGTGCCGCCTGTAGTTGAAACGGTCTTGCCTAGGTAGGTGAAAAAGACTACTTACTTTAGGCTTCTCCCGTTGACGGTGATTGGAGCTTGTTGTTGCTTTTGTTGGTGTTGGTTAGGTATCTTCATTACCTCTGTCTTCTCTACGTTCACTTGAAGTCCTGTATTCGCTCCCTCTTCTGTCAACTTGTTAGTTTTCGCCTGTAGATCTTTGAGTTTGTGTGACAAGACATTAGACATAAATCATCATCGTTGGCGAAATCCAAATCTTCGTCTGGGGTCTTTTCATCGGTCCAGCCAGCGTATGTCCTTCTTCTCGCTCCTCACTGTTTGTTGCATGATCCAGTCCAGTCGAGCACAATCAGGAAGATCATTGGTGATAGTAGGCGGCAGCCTTGTCTTACTCCTGTCTTCACTTCAAAGGCGTCACTCAGCTTTCCGTTGTCGATCACTTGGCATGTGGCGTCTTCATATAGTTGTTGTTGAATGAGGTTGATAAAGGTTTGTGGTATTCCATAGTGTTGTCGCAACTGCCAAATTACTTCTCGGTCAACGTTGTCGAAGGCCTTTTCAAAGTCGATAAAGTTGAAGTGAAGGTCCAGTTGACTGCCATTCTTTACTTTGTTCTATGGTGATGCGTAGCGTAGCGTTGCAATTCGATCCGCACATGATTTGTTCTTCCTGAAGCCAGCCAGCCAGCCTGTTCCGGTCGTAGTTTTGAATCCAGCGCATTCTTAGGTCTCTCCAGAATGATGCGGCTTAATATTTTGCTTGCTGTGGGTGGACAGCAGCATGATTCCACGCCAGTTCTTGCAAAGACTTAGGTCTCCCTTCTTTGGGAGTTTGACGAAGTAGCCCTTTTTCCAACCAGCCGGCAGGTACCTTTCCTTCCTTCCTTGCAAACCTTCTGCGGTAGTGGTGTGAGCATGTCCACCGTTGTCCCTGCGTCTGCTCTCAGTGCTTTTGGCGGGATTCCATCTGGTCCTGCTGCTTTCCGCACTTCAGTAGCCTTATGGCGTTCAGGACTTCGACTTTCGTCGGAGGGCCTGTGTTCACTTGTAGTTCTGTGGTTGCAGGTGGTATTTCTGGACGAGTTACAGGTGATGGTGGTGGTCGATTCAAGAGCTTTTTGAAGTGGTCAGCCCATTGTTTCCTTTGTTTCTCTTTTCTTTGGTAATTATGTTTCCTTCACTATCTTTTATTGGTTTCGTCTGCGCTGATCTCTTCCCTACCAGATAGTAACCTGGTTATTTGATATAGTGTTGTCAGGTCTCTGTCCCTCCTACCTGCAGCCTGTTCTGCTTTACTTGCCAGTGTGTCGTGGAAGTGTATTTTGTCTTTCCGTGCACTCTTCTTCACTTCTTTGTCTAATGTAGTGTTTTATCGATTGTATTCAGTTTCCCTTTTCGTTGTGCATCCTTGCACTGGTTTATCTTCTGCTTCACCATCCTCCTCTCCCTGCTCTATCGGCTTCCATGTATCCATCGAGATCCATTCCTTATCTTCTTTCCGTTTCATTTCTAACACGGTTATGCAGAGTGTTCTTCCACACCCAATCCTTCAGGGATGTTGCTCAATGTCTCGCATTTTGTTCTGATGGCTGCCGTGAAGATTTCTTTTGTAGTTTCGTCCTTCAGCTAGTTTCTGTTCCGGGTGTTGAACTTGAACTGTAGTCTATCACCATCTTCTCTGAAGGCTTCCAACTAGATTCGGAAGGTTCCTTGCACTCGATAGTGAGTGGTGTGGAGCTACATCTGCTCGTCTTCGTTATCTTGTGTCCAGTAGACTGCGTCTCCACTTTCTTCACATTGAGATGAAGTCGATCTGATTTTTAGTGTATTGTGTCCTGGTTTCTGGTGAAATCAACTCCATGTCGCTTTGTGAATATACTTGTGTTTGTACACACTGCTCCAATCACCAAATCGTTGAATGCCCAGAAGTCTGCAAACAGTTCTCCATTGTCATTCATTTCACCGGGTGCTTCTCGACGCATGATGAGTTCTCTTCCTGTATTGTCCGCTCCCAGTTTGGCATTCATGTCATCTATTAGAATTTTGATGTCGTCAACTGGAGTGTAGTCTTGTCCATTACTGATTGCAGTTGTCTGTAGAATTAATCCTTCTCCTCTTGATCTGTATTATTTGTAGGTGCGTAGCGTAGCATAGCATAGCATAGCATAGCATTGTACGATTGTGACTTTCCTTCCTTTTGCGTTGAACCTTACTGTCATGATCCTGATGCTGGAGGAGATTGGTTGCCACTGCATGAGAGCCTTCGATGCTCTCAGGGACATCATGATATCCACTCCAAAACTCAGTGTGCTCGTGGTTGTCGTCTGGGTGACAATATCGGAGTAGATTATTGACTCTCCAGTTGACAGTTGAGGGAGTCCACTTTCATTCCATCTGCTTTCGCAGATTCCTAACACTTCACTGCTATACCTTCTCATCTCTTTGGCAATCTGGACAGCCTTGCCAGTCAGCCTCAAGCATTGTGAGGACATTCTATGTCCCCATCCTTACTTTTGCTTTAATCGAGAGAAGACACATCGGCGAATTGGCTTCCCGAACGCTTCCACCGACCGGCGTCATTTCGCCTCCCTGATTCCATGGAGGAATAAGTTTGTTTTCAGTTTCTTTGTGCTTTGAATTTTTTTAGCGATTGGATTTGTTTTCCGAGGTAGTGTTGCTGGCTTTATGCCTAACCTTCCGTCTTTGTCGGTGCTTAGTACCGACTAGTAACTGGTGAACTGGTTAACTAAATGAGGTTTTAGAACTCCGTAGATGTTACGACTTGTATTCCTCTTACTCAACTTTATTATCACTAAGTAACTGAACAGTTAATTCTCACGGTATGAATGCAGTTTGCCACTGAAAACGGCTTGCATGCTTATCATGCTTCATGAAGATAGCATGCGCCCAGATGCCAGAAAAATTTCAGCAATTTTCCCCTGTACTTGTGACCTAAAATAGAACTAGTGATCCTATTTCATAAGATTTAGCTCTAATGGGAGAGATTATGTACTTCATTAATGCTTCTCAGACTTCAACTTAAATCATTTTCTATCTTATACATAGGAAACGAGCGTTTTAACTCATCACGTTAACAAAATTATTTTTATTTTGAAAGCTGTCATCATGTGTCTTGACTAATACAACTAGGTAGGCAGATGGTTGGGAAACCTGTTATTAAGAAAGTCCAGTGTATTTTTTTAAAACAACGAACATTGGTAGTGTTTAGCAGTAGATGTATTCTTACTGAAATCGTGAAGTCCTCTTCGAAGCGATAAGTGGCACAAATAATTCATAAATAGCACCAGAAAACTACGACTTGAAAGTTAGACATGTGAATACTAACAAAAAAATAAAATACTTGTAGCCTACCGACACATCATTATTACAGCTCCTATAGTCGAAACTAGAGGATTTCTTCCAGAATGAATAGGATTTTAACTTCTATCTTTTTCAACGAGATTTGTTGGAAAACTTCGAATCTATATCACCTTGAATTTTACTATACAGAACTGTCTCAGGTGAACTAGATTTGAGTCGATATTATGTGAAATCAGAAATAATAAACGCTTTACAAAATAATTTTATTTTAATGCTTTAGCTTGCAGTTCCGTATTGCTGGTTGGATCTAGTCTATTGGCCACTAGAGGCATATAAGCTCCTCTGAGGATGCTTTGGTACTGGTGGTAATTTTGGTCTGATTTTCCAAAGTTCTAAGTTGCCTTAATTTGGCATCATCCTTCACATAGGCTGTTAATAAATGAATGACATTGAGTATCTGTGTACTTGTCATTCCTTTTATTTTAGGAACGTTTTACTCGGGCGTCCAAGTTCAAATCAGGCGATGTTAATATGAAATTTCAGCCTCCATCTGCTATTGAAGCACCAGGTAAGATGCTTGTTATCACACGTAATCTTGAACAGTCAGTGGATATCAGCATGCAGCCTTTGATCATGTTTTGCCTTAATTGACACATAGTATTGTATGGAAGAGTTTCCAGTCTAAACAGAGAAACGTCTCTTCAAATCGTAAATACCTTAGAACAAACAGTTACCACTGGACTAGAACCCGGTTGATAGATGCTCGCATGATATGGTGTTCGGTCTTGAATATTTAAATGACCCAATAGGCTGCACTGGCTGGAATGCTTGTTCCATGAGGTTCTACCATACCAGAGAAGTCTATTTGGTGGTTACCGTCAAAATGTAGATATCTACATTATTATGGGGTGTGAAGACTACATCGTATTGCTGACTGGATGAGGTATGTAAGCTATTAGGTGTTTCCCTTGTACGGCTGGCAGTACTATGTTAATGCTACCTTCTTAGGAAAAGAGACAGGTTAGAGAAGGTCGACTTTGAAAACGGTACACTTCTCCACTCTGGTATTCGGGTGCTGGCAGTAAGTGTCCTGTCTAACATAAGCACAATCAAATCTTAACACAGAACTTTTAAAAGGCATCTCAAGTGGATGCCCTCTCTGTTAAGCGACCGCGAGAAACTAATCCATTCTCTCCTTCAAATACCTCATGGCAACAACTTCCGCGTTATGCGTAGCTAGAAATTACCGACGGCTGGTACACTTTTAGCGGTATGCGAAACGCAACTATCTATAATCTCCCTTCCTTACTCTTGTTGCCTCCTTAGCCTTCACTTCATGATACCACTATTAGTCCTCTAACAACTTCCTCAACCTCTTGCCTTGCAACCATTCCTGACGATACAAGTAAACAAAATATCATTCTCAGTCCCCAATAATCAGACTACCTATTCAACATTGGAGCTTTCAACGTCCTAACACACTATGCCAAATCGGACATTAAGCATCTTTTACCAAAACTGTGACCACGACTAATAGATATCTGTTGTATTTCTGAGACACGCATACATGTGCTCTTATTCACTTGATCAACGTGATAGATCTTTGAAATTGTTTCTACCAGTGTTCGGAGATCCAGTGACCAGTTCTTATGAACTCGTTGGTGTAGATACAAAATTAAGTCAGCAACTGACTGTGGGTTGTGCAACTGAACTGTGAGAACTAGGAAAGACTGACACCCGTCGATATATGTTCGTAGTCTTGGCCTACACAAACTGTAGTTTGGAGGATAAAAAGGGTGAATTCTATCTAAAGCTATTAGTTTTGCTACATGGAACAAAACGTCGTGCTAGCAAGCTACTTCAACACTCAAGAATGGAAGTTGAGTCAGTCGAAAAAGCATCTTGGTGGTAACTACTGTATATCGTGTCAACGAACAGACGGTGACGGTCATCTCTTGCAATTTTGTTTTGAAAATCGCTTGTTTTTGGCCAAAACTAACTTCAAGCATGAGGAAAGACACTGTCCACTAATATTAAACTGATTGTGGACACGTACAAAATTGCTATCAACCGTTGTCGGTGATGTCGAGTGGAGGATTACTTTTTTTGTGGAAATCTGCTTGGAGCACGATAATGCGCTCGTCAAATTACATGTATGTTTGCACCCTATTCGGTGTAGGAAGTTGACAGCAGTGAGACCTTCACACTCTTGACTGGAAGATAAGAAAGTCAAATGTTTCTTTGCGGAGAAGATATCGAATAATACTCTGAAAATGGTAACAATTATCTTCTTAATGAAGCTCGGCAGAACATATGGTCTGCTGTAGACTCATTGTTGAATGAAGTTGGTAACCTACATCCAAAGGTTAGCTAGCAAATACCAAAGAATTTCCACTACTTCTTCCAAACTGACTGGTGTAAGGAGACCCATCCCAGCTAACCGTGACAAAATTGAGAAGCAAAAGCAGCCTAATTGTAGACTGAGTAAGTCTGCAATAGTGAGTAGCAAAAGTGCGATAGATGGAGAAGGCTTCTGTATTAGGTAATACTTGGCGACTACTTAAGGATATTAAGGATGCTAACAAGAACAAGACGATTAGTGAGATCACTGTCGAAAAGGACGCTACACTTATAGCTTCTAAGGATGGGCGGGTGGAACGTGAGGTTAGGCACTGTGAAGCAAAGTTCAACTGGCTTTTAGCCGCGCCTACTTTACATAGCACCGAAACCAAACTTCAGTAGGATGTTGATATTGGTCCTTTAACTCTCCTCGAAGTTGAGAAGGTTGTTTCAAACATGGGACGGTGCAAAACAGCAGGACCTGATGGTTTGCCACCAGAAGTGTTTGAGGAAGAAGGTAGGAAATTGATTAGTAGAGAGACGGAAGTAATAGTCAGTTTATGGAAATCAGAGGTATTCTCATTAAACTGGTGTAAATTACAATATTCTAATTTATAAGAAGAGAAGTCTTGTGATAGGCATAAATAAATCAGTTTAATTAATATCGTATCCAAGATCTTAGAGTCAATAATTATCCGACGCCCAACTGGAGGTTGAGATTAAGGAACTCGAGGTAGCTATGCAAGTTTCAGAACTGGACGAGGGCACGTTGATCAAATTTTCACCCTTCGACTAGTTGTGGGACACAGGTGTGGTTATCGCTGACCGATACTTGTCATATTTCTTGACCTGAAGAGGGCTTTCGACTATGTCAACTGAGAGGTGTTGTGGCGGTGTCTGTCTGTGAAGAGACCAAGTATATCATGCTAACCATGGAGCCATGTAAGGATTTAGGGGGAGTTTTCATCTGAGGCGATGATAACCAGTGTCGTCCTACAGGGATACCGGCTGTCACTGTTTCTGTTTAGCTTTCTTATGGATTTACTAATGAACATAACCTTCGGTATCTCCAACAAAGATTGATGTACTTCCTAGATGGCACCTGTTCTTCATGGACTATTCAGATGATAATGTACTGTAAAGGCACAGACGCTAAAAAAGGGCGGTGTCTTCTGAAGGCCTGGGGCAGAAATCTGAGTATGTCTGATATATATATCGCAGCAGCTAAATGTAAGATGATACTTCAAGACTGATTCGCAGCTAATCTCAAATTAAGTATAGGGAGCAAAGTTATGTAGTGCATTGGCCACTTCAATTACTTGCAAATTCGCACCATCCTAAATTTGTTGGTTGCTGACGAAATCTTGGCTTGGTCTCTAAAGATTGGTTCGGCATTTACCAACCTTGGTACATAGTTTGAGTCTCTGGAGGAACAACATTACTCACTGGGGTGCAAGTACATCCAGCTGACGAGTCTTAAATAGGATGAAACGCCCGTCGTAGATTGCGGTGCAAGTCACCAAGATGATTACAACATAAATATCATTTCATTTCCTCTGAAGGTCATTTGTTTTTATGTAGAAATAGTACTATTGTTGTACTTTAAATAAATGAATCAATCTAGACAGCATTCTATGCGACAGACTAATTATATGTAGTTTAGAGGTTTTATGCTGAAGTCAATACTTTCTTCATAAACTTATTGTGGCGTTACAATAATTAAGTTGCAAATTACCTATGTACATGATAACGCAATGAAATCGTGTGTTTATCTTAAATAATCACGATAAAGCATTGTTAAAGCGAAGACACGAATGCGCTTTGCACGACAGCACTGAATTATAAATTGTAATCAATTTATTTTATCATTTTTATTCAGAATGTGACCAGTCTCCTACGTCAACTACAGAAGGACAGATTTTTAATGTACAGAACAAACGGTCTATCCCAACAGGGGGAGAAAAGTTACATTTGTCACCTAATTCAAGTACAAACGAAAGACCATTTCAGGGCTTCGATACGGCCAACGATGATTCTGAATCAAACAAGTTTGGTCAAAACGCTTCACCGAATTCACCATCTGTTCATACTGGTCTTAAACTGGGTTTACCACAAAACACACCATCAATAGCAGTAGCCAGTAAATCTTCTGATAACAACGAAACGAATTCAGTTGATGATCATATATTCACTGAAGTACTTCCCCGCTGTATGACTGATTCCGATATAACTTATCACAGTTTGGAAAAGGTAATTTTAAGTTTTAATCCGTGGTTATTTTCAGTTTTAACACCCTTTCATTAAGCACTTGAAATCACCTTTGAGGTCATAATTAATTCGCTAAACGTCTACGGTAACACACTTGTTAAAGGATGGTAAATTTTGGTAGAATGTTGATCTCACAGACTTAGCCAGACTCTATAGGCTCGTACGACATAATTACGATTATCAATCACTGTTGTAAAACGTTGTTCAGAATACTGTTTTTTCCAGAAGCATCATTAACACAGGAACATGAATTATAACTGGTTAAAATTCAGAAAATCAGATTTGCATTGGAGTTTTATCTAGACAGCGAATTTCATTTGCGTACAACAACGCTGTGTCATTTATTACTTGTACATAGTTGTTATCAGGAGACTGATAACATCTACTTCTTTATTCATACTTATTTTAGATGTTAACAAATTGTCATCTGAAATAAATAAGCATTTAGTCGACTTTCAAAGGAAAATTAGTTTTCAGTAAACTTAGATGGATATTCTTTTCGATAATTTCCCATTAGGTCCTACAACTATAAAATGCATTTGTACAGCAAATACATTTTCCTAATGGAGTGTGATTTAGGGACTATAAGGAAATTGATTTTTCCGTTAAAATTCGTGAATTTTAGAATCTATACATGAAGACAACGAATAAAGAAAATAGAAGTAGGCTTTAGTTTACTGAGGGTCAAGGGAGAAGCAACCTTTGAACATGATCTTTCCGAATGCAAAGTTCAGATTCGATGAGTCTTATTATGACAGCCTCAGATATTTTGAGCAGGCATTGGGAAGCTACACTTTTTTTGGTGCACGATGTATGACAGTAAAAGGGTATATTAGCAACTGTGCGATGCCCTGTGACGACTAGATGCACTAGGCTGGAACTTTTGACTGCTTTCACTTTTGTTTTTCCGAATCAAGCCGGTAAATGCTGTAGTATGCGGAGACATACCTACCTAGTCGTACATGTTTTGTAACTTGTTCCATAAGAACAGTTTAAATTGATATTTGCAAGTTGAAGAGCTAATGTTAGGTAGACTACTTTTTAGTCTCTGAGTGAGCATTGGTCACCTACTTATGGCCTGCATAAAACGTTCTATTGATCTCTGTGACCAGGCGTTGCTGTAGGATATCATTTGGAACGTCTCTCTTGAATTATAGTTCCAGAAACAAAGGCTTCCTCTTCACTGTCATCATTTATCGTTTCGCGACCACTGTAAATGATGCTAGCTTTGATGAACCTTTCCAGATATTTGTTTTCACTTAGAATATCATGGACGCACAGTAGTTCTTTTTCAACACACTCCATGGAACAGCTAGATTTTACTTCTAATGCTAGGCACCTGATTATATTACTTTTATACTTCATGGGCAAAAAGGTGAGAAAGTGTGTATACTGTGCCTTAGACGTCGGTTTTTATAGATATTTCTCAGCACAGACCCATCTTCTTTTATTATTATTAGCACATCAAGAAAATGTATTGAATCATTGATTTCATTTCCATATGTAAAATGAACTGATGGGTGAGCGCTGTTGAAGGAGTTCAGAATAGAATTAATGCATAGGCGCTTATCAAAGAATAAAAAAGTATCATCCATATATCAACAATACAATTCCATATTAGCAGTCTAATCCTTTGAGGGACTATTTTCCAATTTTGATAGAAATTTATCTGCAAATGTAAGGCCTAACTGAGATCCTATAGTCACTCCATCAATTTGTATGTACAGATTACTAGTGGAGATGAACTGAACATTCGTTGTATATTTTGGCAATGATTGCTTCAAATTCACAGTAAGCACCCTAGTGTTTAATTTTATCTCTAATATTTGTTAGCAAATATAATCCTCGGTTTCCATTAGAGAGACGTCGGGGAACAAAAATGTGACATTAGGAGATCCCATACATTTGTTTAACCCCTTTGTGGTTTTTTACTTTGTCTACAAATTGGAAGGTGTCTTTCATGCTATATTTTTTTTTAATTGATTACGCAAAAGTTGAAGTAATGATACAAGTCATTCGACTATAGCGTGGTAAGGTGAGTTAGTCATGTCTAGGATAGGATAGGATGAAGAGGGACCTCAGGTTTGTGTATTTTTGGTAAGCTATGCATCCATGGTATGTTCTTCCTTCAGATTGTTGCTTTTTAAAATGTTAATATGGGAATCTTAAAATATTTTAAAACTGAAATGATTTTATAAGTTAAACTTATTTGTTTATCCTTTTACTTTACAAGAATATATTTAAGAATATTAAGATGTTTTCCCTAAATAAAAGCTATTGGACTAAGGTATTGACTAAATTGTTACTTCATCTGATAGTAGTTGATGGATTTTCGTAAACAAATTACGTGAAAAAATTTCTATTCAGTGTGAGAATTGTGAGAAGTCACAATGAGCATTCCCATCCTTGAACGTAAAGCATTTTAATATTTCCGAAAACGACATGATTTGAAGACTAAAACATAACAGAGACTAGTTTAACAAATCCGTGAAACACGCGTATAGTTTGAAAACTGGCCAACTATGATAACTAGTGTCGAATGGTTTGTACAAGCGGTAGTTAATCTGCGGAATTTAATTCACAAAAAACTTTTCGAAACAACTTGTCTTTACAAATTAAGCAATCAGGTTCTTTCATTATGTAATTTTGACGATTAATTTATAAATTTCAGACCAGAAGGAGTCGGTTTAGAGAGGAATATTATCGTTCGTATACCATGATGTACTACTGAAACTCAGCATCATTTTTGCCACAGTAAATCTAATTTTGAATGTGATGTGACCAAACAGGAAGCCATCATCTTCAATGTTAATATTATATTTTAATTGATGAACTGATAATTTGATTGTTAACGATTTTGTGAATATCTTAGTCACAAAACTTGCATTTCAATAATAATCCTTTAACTTTTTTAGGTCGATGAAGTTTCAGGAGCTGCATACTATATTACTCCTAGTGGTCAGTTGGATTATTCTATTCTTCTGAGAAGTTTTTATTGGTGCAGCACGGTACACACTTCAAGTCGTGTCTGTTTCCACATAGTTAGGTGTTTGAGTGTTTTGTTTGATTTGGGTATTTTCGACATAAAATCCAACTCCTGTTCATCAAAAAATGTCTCTTTTGAAAAACCTGCTCAGTTGAGACGATTCCGGAAAAAAAACCATTATGAAAGGAAGAATTTTTCGAAAGCATTGAAGACACCAATTCTCAATAAACTTGTAGTGAGAGAAAATCGTAACAACTCCAGCCTCAGTAGTCGGGGAGCATATGAAAACTTAACTTTACCTTCTAGTAATAGATTGAGGCCGCGAGATTCATCTGGAGGAGTTTTGTTCACCAATTTAAGTTCCTCTAGAGCCTTTGTCGGAATCTGTAGTGAATCATACGGAAGTGAAACAGGTGATGATGCAGACACTGATGCTGGAACAAAGAAGAAACTTTCTAGTAGAACTGATAACGAGTCACTCATGAGTGAAGACAATTTTATGATCCCATGTAACACAAAGAATAGCAGCCCACTTGGGAGTCCTGAGTCTTCTCTTGAGCTTGATAGGGATTTGTCCTCAACCCCACGTCGAATTGGATCCCCGAGCAATATTGAAGTCAAACTACGAAACAATGACAGATTTTTAGATGAAAAGCTAGCATCGAAAAGTGCGCACACATCACGATCTCGAAGTCATTTTCGACAATCAGTGTATTGTGATACATCTAATCAGTTGGTCCGTATGAACTATACATTAGCAGTTGAAATGCTAATAAGGTGAGCCATATGAATTTGGTAAGACTGTTTTCTGACCGTATATTGATGAAAAAGGCTTTCAGAATATAAATTCAGGTATCTTGTTGGCGAATTTCAGTTCCAGTAGTGTTTTTCAATGCATGAAACAAACAACTGTGTGACCACAGACTATTTAATGTTTATATATATATATATGTATATATATATATATATATGTATATATATATATATATATATATATATGTCATCCACCAATGTTCAGACTCAATAACGAAGCATCATTGAAAAAAACCTCAACTATACAAAGAATGTGATCAAGTTAAAATAGTTATAATGTGAGATTTGCATAACGAATCTTCGCTCTAGGTTACCATTATTAGGCAAACAATCATTGTAAAGCTGCACTTTTGTTTTCTCTAAGATCGAGGTAGTGCTGAACTTGCTACGAATCTCAGTCCTGAAGACAGGATAATTCCTGACTAGTCGGGTCTACTTACGGCTTTGGTGATTGCTAGAACCTAATGGCTATAAAAATACCTCATACATTTGTTTAGTGCCTGGTTTCTAAATATGAAAGGTAATACAAATTCTGAGATTTCGGATAAATTTATTTCTAAGAAACAAGTTCTGTGAGATGGGCAAACTTATACATTGCCTACTGGTGATGTTTGTTTGACTCTATTCTCCTCAGGGGGCAGATTTATCTTTATTGGTCAAACATCTTGCGTGTTATTTTGCGTTGTATTCTGGATAACATTATCAATCATTAATGTGAGTAAAACCTGTATGCTTGCTACGACTGTATATTCATTAGTTATTTATTTAAGTTGTTATTTATCACAGACTTATATCAGTTGGAGAACCAATGAAAGACTGGGAGCACTAGGCAACTGTTTCGTTCTAGCATGGCATTCCTCAGTAGTATGTACCTATGGTTCTACCAGTAATATATTTTAGTGACGGAAGGCTTTCCAAATGTCACTTAGAGATAGGTTTGATATCAGATATCGAATCTCAATTCATTTCTCTATGCATATTGTATTTATGTCTTTCATGTCTTTCAGCTAGTTAGCTGCTGTATTTTTCAGTAGTTTCATACTAAACTTAAAACAGTGTACCTACGACTTTAAACATAATCTTACATGCGCTTCAAATTTAGCTGTATTGACTACCCGAATTTAGAAATTCTTGACCAGGATAGAATTTAAATAAGAGACTGCGATCTTAGACAACACTTAACAATGGCCATGAAGGCTTTGGCTGATGGCATGCGCTGGGTTATAGATGGATGATTCACAATCAATTACTTATATTGTTAGTTGGTTTGGTTGCTGAAGCATACAATCAATATGATATGGTATTCTCTTGGATAACCGAATAAGTGTGATACACTTTTGAAGTTTGCAATCAATTTCAAACACATCCTAGCTTATGTGGATGTTAATTTTATCTCCGTACTTTATTGATGAGGATCGTTAGAAATAAATTAGCATGGATATTATTAAAAACTATTCAAGCATTCTTTTGACTCACTATTTCCTCACACTGAACATCAGCAGTGTGGATCGAAAGTAAAAGAAGCTTACGTGAAAGTGATGGTTCAAACTATCCGCAGACAGTTGACAAGTTAGGTACATCATTCGATAAAAAGGTGACCAAGAAACTAGATGTAAACAAAAGCATAAAAGATATGCAATCAAGAAAAGTGAAAGTCATAGCTCACTCAGGTGAATAATAGATGTTTCCACTCCTCCTGCAATGTAGGGGTTTTCACACCACCCTGACATCTGTGAAAAACTTTTCCTTGTTATCTACCACAACTGAGGGGATACCACTTACAAATTTGATCTGAAATGTACATATTTTATTTATATGTGAATACAATAAGCCTGTCACCATTCATCTACATACTACATATATGCCTTTCAGTCAGCTGAAGGATTAGATAAAGAATGCAACTAAAAAATGTTAGTAAATTTTCATCAGTTTCTAGTATATGTAGTAGTTACCCAATAAGTTTTCTTTTAAGCGTATAAAATAGAGAGTTGCTCAGTTTTTTATCGTTTATCGTTGAAATAACATGTAGATGAATATCATAGCTGTTTCGATCATCTTAAGAATCCAAGCACTTTGACGGAGTCGTTTCTTAGGCAAAGCAAACTACAGCCTAAGACGTATCAACAAAGTTATGTGAAAACTCACGCTTTAAAAACACATTATCCCTTTATGTATTTAACAGATAAGAAAATATCAGTTGTTTTGATAATCTGCTCATTTGTACCAGTTGTAACCGTCTCATTAAATAGTTAACTTATTCTGTTTGATGTAGCGTTTGTGGATCCATAAACTTATTTTACATATATTTTTACTGTTGTAGAATTATTCGTGCAACTGGATGTCGACACGGTCATAGCAGTTCACCTAATTTCACTAACCATCATTATCATCAGCAACAGCAACAACTTCATTTTTCAGATTATTCTCAGCAGCAAGATCATCTGGACCCAAGTGTATATTTTCGATCACTTATATACGATTGTTTGATTTACTTACATGAATTAAATGCATACTTATTTAAACGTGTCATATTAAGAATCGTATCTTCGAGTACTGTTGCAGATCTAATTGAAATGCTTCATTCGCTAACTGGTTTTTGCTTAGACCCAGTAACACGTCATTCTGAGCGTTCAAGTGAGTCAATTTTCCGTCTTCAGACGTATGTGAACCTCCCCTAAGCAGACGTTTTTCGGTATTCTAGTTACTGAACTCATTTCATTTTACTCCACCTACATAAACGTGCTACTTAGGTGATACCGCTAATCAACATATAATATGTGAGTGTTTGCTCAGTACAATGCACTTGCGAATCAGTTTCATTTTGTTGTGTATAAAAAATTGAAAAACAGATTCCACGTAGTTGTGCGACTAGAATTTGGCTGAATATTTAAGAAACCCTTTTTACCAGTGTGCGATCACTCCGATATTCAGGTATCTAAAAGTCAATTTTGAAAGTAATTTATTTACCATATTAAACCAACTACTGAAAAGTAAGCAACAAGTTTTAAACTTATTGGCTATGCACTTTAAATAAAGAGCATGTTGTGGAAAGCAACCTAGAATGAATGGTTTATTTGGTTAATTTGAACAGTTGGTTCTTGGCACTGCCAACAGAAGTATCTCTCACAAGTTTAGTCATAACAGACGAAGTGCATTTTGGTAATATGGAGGATCGCTCAATATTCCATTTTGGTGGAGTGTTTTCTTGTTTTACAAGTCAGTTTTCGTTGTTCAAGCGCTACAAGAGAAATAATATCAAATCAAACTAATTTGGTTATAAAAACAGTATGTGATTTTTGTCGTATGAATGTTTTTCTGTTGACTTTCGAATATGATAACATACAAATTCTTGATTAGAATCCATAGCATGCGTAATAACATCTCAAATGATGACAAGTGAAAAATGCTTCCAGGCGTACAGAAAGGAAACTTTGTTTGCAAAGTTGGTAGGACTCACAAAACGATCTTGGTGCCCAGTAAGTGTAATGTTGGCCATGCAATAGTTTCTGCCATCAGTGACACTTGAGCAGAGCATAGTAACCATTACTTTGCTTACAAGGTGGTGGATCGTGTTTTGTGAAGCATAACATACTCTAGGCATCATGACGTTATAACTCTAGATAATAACCAGCTGTCACGTGATATGGTTAGATATTCTTCAAGGAAAACGCTCCATACTCGAGTGGATTAACATTTCTGTGTGCTGTTTGCTGAGACGAATACAAGACGAGCATCAGTTACCTTTTATGCAAAAATAATCTAATAATTATTTGCATTTTATGCATTAATACATATGAACTCTAACGATACAGGGCAACAAAAAGAATGATATATTTTCAATTCAGTGACTATCACTTATGAGTCTCATGACATGTAGTAATAATTTATGAGCTGAAATCGAGCTTCTGGATGTATCTACGCAATTATAAAATGAAATGTCTATTTTAGCCAAGCTGTCTCGACACATAAGAAGTATGTGAAGATTTACGAAAAGGGTCAATGAAGTTAATAGGAAACACAGATTGTTCGAAATGGGTAGCGCTAATACACCACATGTTTCAGATAATCTTTGTCTTCTCATTACGCCGTTTAAATTTATCGAAGTGACCAGTTGCTTTACTTAAGAAGTAGTCCATGAAAACTTGGTTGTCCATTCTCCATGGTGTCTATCATCATATTTCTTCTTAGGAATCTGATTTTTGATTTGACTTTATAAATCACTTTGAAGGAAGATTCTATTGGGGCAGAGACCGGAGTTAACCGGATACTCAATAATGGAGTAGTTAATCGCTTTGAACTCACCTTTAGACAGCCATTCAGGATGGTGTTTGAAGATGCGTTTGGATAAGACACGCTTTATGCGGCCTTTGTTTTTTTCCAATGGTGAATACAATGGAGTTGTCTTCTCACTTACACGAATGCTCTTAAGCACAGGTTGACTTAATTTTTATATCAAGCTGTTACAACGAATATTAGGAATAAAACCCATAAATTAGTTGTCACTTTTGATATATGTGAGCCGAACAGTAATCTACAATGAAAGTCAACCAAGTTCTCTAGGCCTTCAAACAGCCATTCACTGATTAAAAGACTACGGTGAGGTTCCTCAAGTAATATTTTGTTTTAGTGCAGGAAGTGGGTAAAAGAACTAACGTTCTACTAAAGTTCAAAAACGTGAATTTCTTGTTATATTCGCTTTCTGTTTCTCTATTTTCGTCCAAACATTGATGTCATTAGTCGTTATTCCTCTGGTTTGTATTTCTATTCTACCTCTGTACACTTCCTCTTTGTGTTACTGCAAGCTGTGACAACTCAAACTAATGCGTTCCTGTGCAAGGTCTTATGATGTTTTACTTTTGTGTGTGATGTTTAACAATGGCTGAGATCATTATTTTCATTGGTTCGTCTTTCCCGTTACTGACTTCCACCATTATGCCGTATGGTAGTACGAGATTTCTTGTCCTCTATATCCATCTCTCCTCTAAGAATTACTGTTAGTATTTTGAAAGTTGGTCTCCTAAATAAGGTCTCATTCTAGGTAACTTCACTGAATGATAAAACCTAATTCTTCTTAAATTCGAACATCATTCACATTTCCCCCCTGCTTCACTTTGGTTTCACCCTAAGTTCCCCCTTACATATATGAAACTGCGTGATGTTTACGCCAGTAATATATTTGAAGGACACCTTAGGGTTCTCCATTTACTTTGTTGCTGATGTAACGTATTTAGTCTTGTAGAGGATTGGAGAGTTAATGGGTCGAAAGTAATTCAGTTAGTAATCAGCTACACATTGTTTATCCAGCTGGTTGTGTGGGGATTTATAGATTATTCAAATCTTTGACATGTTTTAAAATGTCACCGATGTGATGAGTGATGTGTTAGAATGTTAAAAGGATAGATATTGCAGCATGCTGTCCAGTCATGTGCTGTATACCCAGCTTAGCGATACATCTTTTAAATGATTCGACATTTCTTAATCCATCGCGAAGATGAACTGGGTGGTCATGCCCACTCCTCAATCGGTAGATCGCTGATGGTTGTTGTTTTTCCTGCTCTTTTCAATCAGAAATAAACCTATATGTTAATGATCACTGTTCTTTTAAAGAAATAGATACCAATCAATCATGTATCCTTCTTCACTATTCGAAGACGATTGTATCAATCTATTATTTAAAGCATTTGTGTAAAATCTGATGATGCACTAATCTGCCTTACAAAGACGACGGAAACTAATGTGTGTGTTTAAAGCACAAATACTGTTTTAAATCAGAAAATAGCCTACTTGCTTGTAAAAGCAAATTAATTACTTACTGCGGCAAATCGTGAAAATACATTCAGTCTTTAGGTTAGATAATTGTACAACCAACTGCTCTAACTGAAATCTAGAAGGAGGTGAAATGTCAGTGAAACACCTCGAGGTACAGTTTCGCTGGTTTTCTTTATTAATCTGCTATTAAGGTAAAAACTTGGTGGAGCAGATTCTTGTCCTATTATTACAACTATGGGATAAATCTACGAAGGAGATTAGCAAATGAAAGTGAAATCCATCCAATACTGTTTTTATCTATTCACCTAAAAAGAGAATTCCAGCTGAATTAAGTCCTAAGTAGGGTATGAGAGTCAAACATAGTTCCGTTAGAATGCCATGAATCAACAATCACTTCAGCTTGTGAGGAAAGTTTGGAGTTCTGTGCTGTGAAAAATTGTGAAATTCAGGTTAAATAAACTGACTTGACAATTTTGTCACAAATATTTGTTCGAAACTCATGCTGCGCTTTGATATACCGTACCTGGGAATATAATAAGGTTCCTGATTAGCTGGAATGTGAGGGATGAATGTTGTTTGTTAGTTAGTGCTACGCATATTTTTTGATCTAGAATATTTGTTGAAATGAATGGTTTTTTTTTTTTTAAGTTTACAACTACATACAGCCGGAAACGTATGCATTTGTCTTTTGAAAGTATTGTACTTGAATAGCAACTCAAAAGAGGGTTGCTGGTTTTTGTCGTTTGAGCACATGGAAGTAATCACTGTCCATCATGTGTTCCTATTCTACTATATCATTCCGTTTTTAATGCCTTCATACAAAGATTCGCACGACTTTAGTAACCCAAAAAACTACACTATGATACGTCAATGGACCTGCGTTGACAGAGAAAGTGAGAGGTTTTGTTGCATCTGCCCATGCAATGACTTTTTCAACAACATACATCTCATTGTGAGCATGAAGTGAAGTGTCAGTGTCCGAAGAAAGTCGGGTCAAGTATGATAACAGTAAATGAAGTAATGCACTTTCGATTCAAGTTGAGATAATACTACCTATTTTTATACTTACCTTCATTGTCAGCTCAGCTCCAGACCAGTCTTTAGGCCTTTGGACATTCCGACGTAGTCTGCTGGATCCGCGATCATAAAACATTTAAGCAACACAGGTCTTACTAACATGAAGACGAACAGTCCTGCCAGAGTGTTCTACTAACACATTTACAAATCGGTCAGTATTATCCTAATCCTCCTATCTGTCAAGATTTAATCGATTCCCATTCACCAGGTACTTGGAGTGGTCGACCATCCTCAACTCCTCAGGGGCAGACTTGGATAGTACAGGTTTCACTGAAGTCTCCACAACTTTCCATAAGGAATGCAGCTCAACCTTCCTGGAAAGCAATCTTACACGGATCGTGATCCGTGTATACATTAGACCAACAAATTTGTAGCGATGAATCCCTCCAGGTTACTGATACACAGCCAAAGTAGAGTTAACAATACAGACATCTCGGGCTGAATAATGCTCCCGTTTTGCTAAGTGAACTACACTCACACACTTGGAATTGCTTGCACTGCAACGACTACCGAAATTCGGAAGCTGAACTTCCCTTATGTTTGGCTGCACTGCTGTCAGCTAACTGGATGGAATCCAGCCACTAATCTTTCGATTATGAGTCGTTGATCGTGGTTTTCTCTAAGTGGACATTATGTTGTCTAGGTCGGAATCAAGTGGAGCCACGAATGCGCTCAGTATTGTGCGTAACTGAGCTTGGTCCGCAATGCCTGGTAGACAAATACATCCGATTTCCTAGAGCGAGCATCCGCAACCAAACAGAACCACATAGAGTTTCTCCACGTGGACACTGGCCTGTGACTGGAGGCAGATTTGGACCGCCTGGAAAGTCATAGTAATGCTTTTTCGGTTTAGTTTGTCAGGGAAATTTTAAGTTGAGATGATACTGCCTAAATGAAGAAGCATTCAAATTATTCACCAACTTACCTCAACTCACATTTACAGAGTTAAGCTTAAAGACATTATTTGAAGGTCATTCGCCACACTTTTACCTATCATCTTCCTAACAGTTAGTTTTCTGTCACAGTGATAGCAGGTCTCAAGGTAGCATAAACTCACGCCCAATTGTACCACACTATCTGATTTGATTTACCTATGAGTAAACATATGTTTTGACTCCTGTATCACGGATTGTAGCGCAACAGATTGTGCTTGAAAAGTAGAACTTTGCAGATTGTTGGTTTTTTTTGTCAGAAATTAATTTCTATTCTTATTCTAGGATCATATCGCTTCTAAGATTGAATTTCGGTTCACATTTGCGAGAACCAGCCGTTATATTCGAATTCAACCAGAATTTTATTCGACAACATACTGTCGTAGGTTGTAACAAGCCTAGGTTTCAAAGAAACTTGAAAGCAAACGAAAACCTTTAGTTGTAAAGCTCTGCATATAAAGTTTATTGAGGGAGAAAACTAAGACATGATAAACTGACTTTTCTCAAACTCCAGTTTCATTTCATAATATCTTTAATATCTTCTTAATTTAAGTATATTTTTTTTTGTTTTTTCCTGAAAAATTTTAAAATTCAGACTACGATAGGAAGTCGTATCTAACCTATGGAAATAGTTTCGGACAAACTGAAGCTGGTCAGGATATTCGTGGAGCTGAAGGTTTAATTATCTCGCATTTGTTTGGTCCATTTGTAAGACGACTGGTCAGATGTAGACGTGAATTAAGCAGCCAAGAAAATGTCTCACTATTTTCTGACATAAGGCAATTATTCACTTATATACGTGAAATTCATGGAAGTACATTTCGAAAAAATATGTTGGTTGCTTTGCTGTGTCCTATACAAAGAGTATGTGAAGTCTCTTTGCCAAGAGCTTCGGCTCCATTGCCGAGAATGTAAGTTCACTTCACATTTTCATAATATTTATATTACTAAATTCATATCTAAGCCATTTGATGCTTGAAAATGATTACATGGTTATAGAAACACAAACAGTAGCCATTTTTAGTTATATCGAATCCCCTATCCATTATGAAATTAGTACTGGAATAACCCTTCAAATTTAGTCAGTTGCTATTCTTGATGATCCATTGTGTAAGTAAATGAAGTAACGGTTGTTCTAACCATTTTAACTGTATATGTTTTTTCAGTTTCTCATCCCAATCTTTCTCTCCAAATGGGTGTTGTAACCCTAACCATTTTGAAGGAGTAGATGATGCTGACTAGTTCGAAATGGATTTAATCATAAAGAAACATGATATTTTAGTCTGTTAATCAGATACACGAGGCAGTGAAACAGTATTATTTACTGAAAAACATTTCGGACATATTCTCTATATTCATAGCAGATGAAAACATATACTCACTGATGGCATTTGGATGACGGTCGCACTATATCACGAACTGGCAAAAGTAAGAAAGTATGGACCATTGGATTCCGATCCAGTGGGTTTTTGATGATTCTCCATTTGATGTCAGTCAGTGCTGAGTGCCATCTGATATATTTAAAGAAAGAAAATTATTTCCGTAAATAATACTGTTTCATTGTCTGACGTCTAATAAACGGACTCAAATGGAATTACAACCTACCTCAGCGTTTATATTTTACTCTTATATTAAACAAACCCACATGGTGTAGAAAGTTAGCAACAACTGTTTTTTTATGGTTTTGTGTTTCCGAGTACTGCATAACCTCAATAACCTACTATTTAGATTTAAAGTGATAAGTATATCGCATTTTTACAACTGGCATTCACATTTTCAAGTTAGCAATTAACCCTGAACTTCGTTTGTTCAACCGATGGTGTTCCTTGGGAACTCAGAGTTATACACAGGTGTGCCAGTTTCCAAGTTCTTCTAGTTTTGTCTGTATATGAAGTGTATTTCCGTCGCAAAATAAATTCGCTTCCTCTTGCCCTGTGAGTTTGTATAAATATCATATCAAATTCAGTTATTTCTGAATTCAGCCGAGGGTTCTTGCAAAACCTGAAACCTGTATACAACGTCACCTGTGTAACTATGACATTTTAACACATGAATGTCTGCTATTGACATAATTTGCTGTGTCCACCCTATTTTCTTCACATGTTAATGATGTGATTTAGGAATTGTAAAAAGTATCTTATTCCCTTATTTTTTCTTCGATTGCTTTGGAAGCTTTAATTATTCAACTTCCATATTACGTAATTTTATCCTTCCCCAACAAAAACCTTCATTTTCATTAAAAAAATATTTACTTTTGTTGAATGAAATATTTTCCAGCTGCTCAGCATTCATCATAATGATGTTTTGTTAAGCTCACTTTCCCACCATATCATTATTAAGAAAAAAACTGATTGAGCGAAGAAATATATTCCTTTTCAATTAGGTCTTCATCTTGGGCTCTACACTATATATAGGTTTACAATTTAATCAAATTACCAATCATGTGGTGGTATTTCGGAAATAATGATGTGAATAATCAATACCCCAACCTTATATGAATGGGAGTTTTATGGCACTAACAAATAAGACTTAATTGAGTAGACTGCAAAAGAGTACAATTCTCAGGTACATTGTTTTGTACACAATACGCGTTCGTTCACTGTTACGTTTCTGTAACCAACTGTCAGTTGCAGTTTATGTAACCAGCTCATCTATATAAATTTACGGAGTACTTCTGAAATGCGCATAATAATATTTTTCGGTTACAGTACCTTCAGTGTTAGATGAAATTCTCTAGGACTTTGACAGTGATTGGACGTTTGACTGTATAACTGTAGAAAGGTTAGTTAGAATTAAGCTTTTGTGGATAGTTGACTTTCGGTACTTACATAGCCATGAGATAGAATGACTTTGGCGATTTCCACTAAATGGAATAATTTGGAGTTAAGAGAAAACATTTGATAGGAAAGTATGAAGCAGCGTATCTATATGCACCAGTTCGGTAAGTAATTTGTGACCCGATACGGATGCAGAACGAACCGTTTGACCATTTGGTTTTAAACGAGGGAGTACTCCATAGATTTGGAAGTCATAAACTCTATGACGCGTAGCGTAGACAAAGTAAGTGTTGGCTATTTTTACGAATTTACAAACTTGGCAAATAGTCTGAACACAAAACACGAAACATTCATTCTTGATTAATCATGAGAACTATCGAAGTTTGATTTACATTGGGGATAATTGTGTGAATATCAAGATTAAAGCATTCTGTTCATTCATCAATTTATAAGGCTGCAGTGCAACTCTTACTTTTTAATGCTTAGCCCTAATTAACATGTGAATCTATAGTTTCCTCCAAATATTGCTTTAGATTTATCACAGTTATTAAGAAAACACTCCGTAAAACCTATACTTCCAGTAAGTTTCCAAAGGCAGCTCTAAATGTTAGTTGATGGACGTCAGTAAAACCTATAATTGCTAGTAATCAATAGATATGTGATTCATCTCAGTCTAGAGTTTTTTATGATCTATACTTTGATCTCATAGCTTCTTGAATTCAAGACTTCCGGTTGAGTCGATAGGATGTTTTCTCGGATGACTTACTGATTATTTGATGGAGTATGCTCCAATTCATTGAAGTTTATTGAAATGAACCAGTTTTATTTTGTATATTCTTCATGTATGACGTCTGTGTGTTTAAGGCTTAACTCCAAATAAAGCATATCAGAGTAACTTAATTACTTTCATTTGTCCAGATGCTAACCATGTATCTAATGTCAATTGAAATTTGCTTGGCAATTCCCAAACATCCCTAACAAGTCAACATTTGATGACATATCAATCTTAATAATTATTCAGTGTCAAAAACAAACATCATATCACTTTTATTTTCATAAAGATATGATTTTAGTTCATAAGTATATTTCATGATTTCTCATCTATTTTTTTCCTTTTCTTTTTTTAAAGGTCGGTACGAAATTCTATGTGGCTGATACCTAGACAAGATAAACGGCGTTCAACGTTCAATCTGTTTATTGATCCTCTAGCTGAAACAGAAAGTTTATCAAGTGGTCACAGAGATAGTGGATGGCACGGTCTACTAAGCCGACCATCGACACCTGGACAAAGCATAAGAATCCATAGTAATGGAAGTTCATCAACTTTACCACCTTCATTTGAGAATGGTAATCCTTCGCCATCTTAATTTTTGCTCAGGTTTTTAGTTCATGTAATTGTTATAAAATCTTGGTGAAATACTTAGCAGTAGATTCATGCAGTCCTCAGTATGTGTTACCAATATCTTTCAGTCATTTTGAGCACATCGATAAAAGTATTTTACTCTATAAAAGAAACCGATTAGACCATAACATTCATTACTAATTCATGAATTCATTGACTGTCACTTTTTGGCGTGCACGAAAGTGCGGTATACTTAGTTCGGGTTTATCGGACAGACATCTCAAAACTAATCGCATTCGCAGAGATGTGTTCATACTTCTTCTTCATTCCAATCATAATACCGTACATTATTATTCTTTTTTTTCGTTCTCTCTCTTCACCTAACACCACAGCTAACAAAAAGACTCAAAATTAAATAATACTACATTAGGAATATCTGCAATCTCGCCCGGTTAACTAGTTCACTAGTTACCAGCCAGTACTTAGCCCGGGTAAAGAGGGAAGGTTGGGCATAAAGCCAGCAACACTACCTCGGAAAACAAATCCAATCGCTAAAAAAATTCAAAGCACAAAGAAACTGAAAACAAACTTATTCCTCCATGGAATCAGGGAGGCGAAATGACGCCGGTCGGTGGAAGCGTTCGGGAAGCCAATTCGCCGATGTGTCTTCTCTCGATTAAAGCAAAAGTAAGGATGGGGACATAGAATGTCCTCACAATGTTTGAGGCTGACTGGCAAGGCTGTCCAGATTGCCAAAGAGATGAGAAGGTATAGCAGTGAAGTGTTAGGAATCTGCGAAAGCAGATGGAATGGAAGTGGACTCCCTCAACTGTCAACTGGAGAGTCAATAATCTACTCCGATATTGTCACCCAGACGACAACCACGAGCACACTGAGTTTTGGAGTGGATATCATGATGTCCCTGAGAGCATCGAAGGCTCTCATGCAGTGGCAACCAATCTCCTCCAGCATCAGGATCATGACAGTAAGGTTCAACGCAAAAGGAAGGAAAGTCACAATCGTACAATGCTATGCTATGCTACGCTACGCACCTACAAATAATACAGATCAAGAGGAGAAGGATTAATTCTACAGACAACTGCAATCAGTGATGGACAAGACTACACTCCAGTTGACGACATCAAAATTCTAATAGATGACATGAATGCCAAACTGGGAGCGGACAATACAGGAAGAGAACTCATCATGCGTCGAGAAGCACTCGGTGAAATGAGTGACAATGGAGAACTGTTTGCAGACTTCTGGGCATTCAACGATTTGGTGATTGGAGACAGTGTGTACAAACACAAGTATATTCACAAAGCGACATGGAGTTGATTTCACCAGAAACCAGGACACAATACACTAAAAATCAGATCGACTTCATCTCAATGTGAAGAAAGTGGAGACGCAGTCTACTGGACACAAGATAACGAAGACGAGCAGATGTAGCTCCACACCACTCACTATCGAGTGCAAGGAACCTTCCGAATCTAGTTGGAAGCCTTCAGAGAAGATGGTGATAGACTACAGTTCAAGTTCAACACCCGGAACAGAAACTAGCTGAAGGACGAAACTACAAAAGAAATCTTCACGGCAGCCATCAGAACAAAATGCGAGACATTGAGCAACATCCCTGAAGGATTGGGTGTGGAAGAACACTCTGCATAACCGTGTTAGAAATGAAACGGAAAGAAGATAAGGAATGGATCTCGATGGATACATGGAAGCCGATAGAGCAGGGAGAGGAGGATGGTGAAGCAGAAGATAAACCAGTGCAAGGATGCACAACGAAAAGGGAAACTGAATACAATCGATAAAACACTACATTAGACAAAGAAGTGAAGAAGAGTGCACGGAAAGACAAAATACACTTCCACGACACACTGGCAAGTAAAGCAGAACAGGCTGCAGGTAGGAGGGACAGAGACCTGACAACACTATATCAAATAACCAGGTTACTATCTGGTAGGGAAGAGACCAATGCAGATGAAAGCAATTAAAGATGATGACGGAAATTCAATTTCCAAAGAAGAGAAACCAGGGAAATGATTAACTGACCACTTCGGGAAACTCTTGAATCGACCACCACCATCACCTGAAACTCGTCCAGAAATACCACCTGCAGTCGCTGAACTGCAAGTGAACATAAATCCTCCAACAATAGTGGAAGTCCTGAACGCCATTAGGCTACTGAAGTGCGGGAAAGCAGCAGGACGAAATGGAATCCTTCGAGAAGCACTGAGAGCAGACTCAGATACAACGGTGGACATGCTCACACCACTGCCGCTGAAGGTCTGAAAGGAAGGGAAGTTACCTGCTGGTTGACTGGAAGAATGACTGCCTTGTCAAACTCTCAAGAAATGGCGAGGAATTACGCTGCTGTCCACCCACAGCAAGCAAAATATTAAGCCGCATCATTCTGGAGAGACCTAAGGATGCGCTGGATTCAAAACTACGACCGGAACAGGCTGGCTGGCTGGCTTCAGGAAGAACAAATCATGTGCGGATCGAATTGCAACGCTGCGCTAAGCATCATCATAGGATAGAGTATAGAATGGCAGTCAACTGGACCTTCACTTCAACTTTATCGACTTTGAAAAGGCCTTCGACAACGTTGACCGAGAAGTAATTTGGCAGTTGCGACAACACTATGGAATACCACAAACCTTTATCAACCTCATTCAACAACAACTATATGAAGACGGGAGTGAAACAAGGTTGCCTACTATCCCCCATGATATTCCTGATTGTGGTCACCTGGATCATGCAAAAAACAGTGAGGAGCTGTGAGAGGAGGGGGATACGCTGGACTGCGGAAAAGAACCTAGAAGACTAGGATTTAGCCGATGACTTGTGTCTGATGTCGCACAAACTTGAGGATCTACAAGCAAAAACTAACAATTTGTCAGAAGAGGCAGGGCAGCGAAGACGGGACTGCAAGTGAATATAGAGTAGACAGAGGTGATGAAGATACCCAACCAACAACACCAACAACAACAACAAACTCCGATCATCGTCAACGAGAGAAACTTAAAGGAAGTAGTCTCTTTCACCTATCTAGGCAGGATCGTTTCAACTACATGTGGCGGCACAGACGAGGACGTCAAAGCCAGGCAGGATCGGAAAAGCAAGACAGGCGTTCATTAGCCTGAAACCAGTGTCGAGATCTTCTGCACCCAGCATGTGGAACAAGATTCGGATTTTCAACACCAACGTCAAGTCAGCGCTTCTATATGGTTCAGAGACTCGGCGCGTTAGGATAGGGATTTCCAACAAACTACAGACATTCATCAACAACTGCCTACGCTGGCTCGTTACTGAAGCTCAGATGAGAAGGCCAGAAAGAATAAGTAACAAGGAACTCTGGGAACGAACCAACTGAGAAGCTGTCGCTCAAAAAATATGCAGAAGAAAGTGGAGATGAGTTGGATTGAGCATACGCTGAGAAGGTCGACTGGGGACATCACGCGTCAGGCCAGGCCCTCGAGTGGAACCCCGATGAGAAGCGACGAGTTGGGCGTCCGAGGTGAGGGTGAAATGGAGGAGATCGTGCGAGGAAGAAATGAGAGGTTATGGGCTGTCGTGGAACCAGGTTCAAAAGATTTCAGAGAACATAGTTCATTGGAGACGTACTACTGCAGCCCTATGTTTTATTAGGAACTCAAGGGATAAAGAATATATAATGATAGGAATATCTGCAGCTGATGTTTTTGTTTTCACTTGTTCATCTTCCTTGTTGCTGATCTCTAATTATTGATCATAATGACGTCATCTTTAAGGATGCCAGACGTCTTGTGGTTTATTAGCCAATTCTTATTTCCGATCTTCATAGTGGAATAGACTGTTACCGAGGTGGAGAATACCGGAGACAACTTATCAATTAGTTGTTTCAAGTGGCCATGAGACTTCGTTTATATTACTGCATTTATACTAGAAAAAAAAGGAATAGCAGAAGTTCATAAGTAAAGATTACTTTCATTATTATACAAAATGACAAGCACTATTTCTGACCGGTCAGTTCATAGCATTACTGTATGCCCTTTGTGATCGACTAATAAAAGATCTAGACAATGGAAATTATGAAACTCTTAACAAAATAACTGCGCTCTTATCTCTAGATGACAAGCACGCATCAACAGATCGAGCAACGAACCAAATAACGGTTTCTTTCCTCCTGAGATATAGAAAACCACAAAATACAGAAACATGGTAAAACTACTACCACTCAACATTGATTCCGGTGTTATAGGCGGTTAATCAATAGTAAGATACAGATCCACTATTCATCCAGTGAGTTTACGATTAAAGATGAGGTTAGAATTTGATTATCCAATCAAATTTAGATCATGTTAAACTGCTCACAAATGACTATTATTCAGCTGTCATGCAGTGCTTGTTACTCAAGCAATAATTGGCCTTAAGAAACCTTTTGGATGATGAAAGATTCAAATTTGTGGGTAAAAAAATGCTAAAATTTCACTTTAGGTGCTCAATATCTACTTACTATTTTCAAGTCGAATAAATGAAGATTTGAAGTTCGTATCACAGTTTGCCAAGCTGTGATTCAGGTGTTATGTTGTATTGTGCACTCTATGCAAATCTGTACTGAATGTATGGCTTGTATTGGCCAGATACTAAAGCATTTGCATTAGAAACGTTGAGCTGCCAAAGCAGTAATATCATTAGAACTCTATCATGCTGAACTAGAATGACTCTCAACAATTTTCAACTGGACTTTGACACAAAATGTAATCTATTCGCTTACTCCATCCGAACGTATTTAGAATATTCGGCAGTTCACATATCTGGTTTCCTCTTCTCCAGTACAACATAAATGCCAATTTACGATATCTTCCTTTGAGAGTTAATTTTTAACATTCAGGAATGATTATAGATACGCAGCATTGAGGGAAACATTTTCTTGCTTGACGTCCATTAACATCAATGTCGGTTGCAGACCACGTTCCTATCTCTTACAGCTGCAGAGGGTTGGCGGAAGATT